AGTGAAATAATGGGGGGGGGGATAAAATTCCAGCGGCTGCGCCGGGGCTCACTGGAGCAGCTGTTTCGGGGTGGGAGCCATGGGAGCAGAAGCCCCCAGCTGTGCACTCAGGGAAAACTGGGGACCAGGAGAGGCGATGGGCCTCCTGCAAGGGAATCAAGGCAGACAGCCATGTGTTTCTTACCCACCAGCCCCTCGCCCCTCTGAGCAGAAGACCATGGCCTGGGGCCTCGGGGGCGTCCTGGGCCCATAGCAGGGGAGCAGGAGGCGGCTTCTTCCCCAGCAGGGCTCTGTGGACCCAGCGGGAACTCTGGGCCCCTGGAGGCTGGAGGGGACACATCACAGGTGCACGCGCGGTGATGACAGGCCTGTCTGAGACCCCAAGACCCTCCCTGCAGGGTCAGGTCTGTCCTCTCCCTCAGCTTGAGATGGGGTGACGAGCAAGGGTGTAGGCAGGAAGGGCACAGGGCAGGTTCTCTATGATTCAAGCAGACGGGGTAAGGGGGGAGTCCTGGAGTCCTTGGTGGCTTTTTGAAGACTTTTATTCAGTTTACCAGGTACATGGCAGACAGGAGTGCCGGGGGCCTGGGGGGTCTGCCAGCCCCCCATCCCCCAGCGAATCATCACTCTTCCTGGGCTCTCCAGCGTTCTCTCGTGGCCTCTGCTTCTCTGCTGGTTCTCTTTCACTCTGCTGGTGTCCCCGTGATGCCCCCCTTACAGTCTCTCAGCCCAGGTGAACCCACCTACACATCCCACACCCCACTCCAGGTGCCCGCCACCAGGCACGCATCAGGACCACAGATCCATCATCAGTCCCAATGGTGGGAGGGCAGAAAAGCCTGACACTTTTTATACCTTACCCTACAAGGGGCCTTTCAACTGTGGCCCATGTCTGGCCTGTGCGTGGCAGATCTGGGGCTTGACAAATGGGTGGACTGTCCTTCACTTCTACTGCTTAGAGCCTCTGGTGTCAAACCCGAGCCTGAACTGAGTCCTCCTGAGCGCCACCCACACTCTCACCTCCTGACTATGAACTGCCCCTCAGGAGGGTCTCTAGGAATTTCTTCCTCCTGAAGAGTTCAGGGTCACAGTGGAAATCCCACGTCTAGAGATTTCCTTATCACAGATTGATTCCTCATGTCACAGGAGAGGGAAGCCTCCCAGGCCCTGTCTGGAGACACAGTACCGGGTCCAACCCCGTGAGACATCACACCTAATCCGCTGGTGTCTGCCCACTAGGCTTCCCACTTTGTGGCTTGTTGGTGCCAGAGAGAGTTGGCAGCTTGTAGTCAAGTTAGCGTGACTGTTGCACAACTGTCCCAGGCCGGGCGGGTTCACGGTTACCCGGCAAACAAAAAAAAGAATCTCAGAGCCTTAGGTCTCCCTGCCACGCCTTTGATACTTAAACACAGGGCCAGATACAGGCAGGCCCCAGGCAGAGGGGCAGGCGGGCAGCCACCAAGCCTCCTAGCACCCCCAACCCGGTAAAGGGGCTCTTCTCCTTTATGCTGATCCCCTGGGGAGCAGGCGGTGTCAGCTGAAGAGGAGGACGGGAATGAATCAAAATGAAGTTCCACTTCTTACTGGACACCTGGATGCTGCCCAGCGTTGTGTTGAGATCCACAGAATTCCATGTGATGCGTCTCCTGTTCTGTGTCTTTCTGTCCCGCTCTGCATTTCACCCGAGGGCCCCGCTGACTTCCGGTGCTGGCTGCCTCCCAACATGAGCGGGGTATGGACGAGAGGGCCCTTACGTGTGGTTTGTCATTGGGAGCCTTCATACACCCTCAGATCCTTCACGTCTCTATTGAAATTTTCTGCAGCTGGTGGTTGGCAGAAGTGTAACCCCCACCCCCCAAAGATGCCCATGTCCTAACCCCGGGCTCCTAGGGGTGGGCTCACTAGTTACATAAAGGTTAGCTCATTAAAAGGGCCTTCCCACAGGTGAGGATCTTAAATGAGGGAGGTCATGTGGGATTGTTGAGGCGAACTCGAGGGAACCCCAAGGGTGCTTTAAGAGGGGGCTGCAGAGGATCAGCGGGAAGAAGAGATGTGATGAGGGTAGGAGAGAGCTCGGAAGATGCGAGGTGCTGGTTCAGTGATGGAGCCAGGACCCTGGGTACTTCTAGAAGCTGGAAAAGACCAGGATGTTTTCTCTCCCAGAGCCTCCAGAAGGAACAATCATCTCAGTCTGTGATCTGGACTCAGGAGCTCCAGCGCGGTGAGAGAATAAATCTGGTGGTTGTAGATCACGGAGTTTTGGGGAACAGGAGAAGCAGCTGTCGGGGAGCTGAAGTCGGTCAGGCTTTGACGCCACTGACCTCTGTGGCTGTCAGCTGCAGCCTTGACCTTGTTAACGTAGAGGGTGTGCAGGCGTGGGGCACGCGGGCCTGACCGTGGACACCTGAGCATGGGCGTGTGCGCATGTGCAAGTGTGCACACCTGAGCCTGGAGGTCGGGCTATGAGGGTGGCGTCACGCAGAGCCGGCTGCGGGGTCAGGGCGCGGTCACGGGAGGGGGCCGGAGGAAGGGCACAGATTCCCAGGGGCTCGCACTGCCGTCTCCCTGCTGGCTTCTCTCCCGGTACCATTAGAACCTGTGAAAATCATGCCAAAGCCTCCAAAATTCTCTTCAGAATCACTAGAACTGACGGTGAACCTACCCGGCCTGGCGATGGCCACAAAACAGCAGCAGTTCCCAAGCAACTCCCCCATCAGCCCTGAACACAAGAGGGAAGGATGGATCCACTGCGTGAATCCCAAGCCCACCCGGCCAGTCTCCCTCTGGTTGGCGTATTCAGCTGGAAACGAGATGCTCGATGGGCCCCTGGTGCCCGGAGGAGAATCTCAGGATGTCGCTGAGGGGCTGTCGGGAGCAGCAGGAAGGACCATCTCTCTCCAGGCCCTGATGTCCTTGACCTTGGCCCTGCCCAACAGCAGCCTCTGCTCAGCCTCTACTCAGAACATTGATGGGGGGGGCTGCACCCTCTCAACTCCACCCATGCCCCCCTCCGGGGCCTGAGGACGCAGAGCCCACTGGGTGCCAGTTCCTTGTCAGTTCAGACTCAGGACTGCAAGCAAAGCAATAGCAACAAGTAAAACAAAGACAAAGAAAACCAAATTCAAACAACCCTCCTGGCTACTTCAAGAATAGAGACATTGGAATAATCCAAAATACTCCAGAATGGATTCCCTGGAGGACTCAGCTCCACAGCCTTCTAGGCCCCAGGCTCTTCGTTTTGGGGATTTCCCAGGGAGACTTTCTGATTCGGGGCACCTGAGAGCCTCTATCCCTGGCCAGGTAGAGCTGAGCCGAGCAGGGTGGCCCCAAACTCAGAGCCAGCAGGGACCTCGTCCATCCCTGTGGGCCAGGGAGGGGCTGGCTGGCCACACCCTGCACAGGCACCTCCTTAGGGAGGAGCCCCCGTGTGCTGGGCCAGCCCCGCAGAAATGGGTGCAAGTGAACAGGGGGGCCGGGGAGTAACATAACAGCACCCCTACCAAGGAGTGACAGCCCCTCCTACCCCTGTCCTCCTGTGCCTGGTCGGTTCCCACCCCGGGAGCAGTGGACAGGGAGGCTCCCAGGGGTTCTGTCTCTGGGCGCTGGTGAAGGGCCGTGGAAGGAGAGAAGAGCCTCGGACACCCCAGCCAGGGTTCACTGGGGACTCAACGCTGAGGACTCTGCACCCCCCCCACCCCCCCTAATCTGGTTTCCTGGTGAGCACAAGAGGAAGCAGAGGGATGGGGGAGGCTTTCAGGAAACCCTACTCAGGCCCACACACGACAGCGGGCACAGCTGCAGCTGCTCACCTGCGGGCGGCGTTGGGGCCCAAGGAAGAACACTGGGCCCGGCCGCTCGCGGTGCAGCTGCCCAGCCAGGCCCTGGTCGGAGCGGAGGAGCCTGCGCTGCCAGCTCAGGACCAGAGTCCTCCCGGCCTCAGGGCTGTCCCTGGGCTCCCGGTCTGCGGGGAGTGGAGCCGCGCTGGCCACAGCTTGTCCTTCCTGCCCTTCCCCGTCCTGTGAGGGGCCTGTGCTCCCCCAGCAGCGGCAGCACGCCCCGTGTGCCGAGCTCCAGGGTCAGGGGCTGTGCAATGCCGGTGACATGGAGGGGTCAAGGGCCTCAGGGGAGCAGGAGGGGTGGGGATGTGGGGGGTCCACAGAATTGTTTGGGCAGTTCTCCCCAAGCCCGAGGGAGGCTGCGATGTGGCATCTAGGGTTGCTCCTTTAATGGCGTCAGCAGGGAGGGCCTGGGGGTGGGGGGGGGGCTGTGGGCCGAGGCAGTTTCTGTTTCCTCTCACTGCACGGGAGGGAAACCGCAGTCCAGAGAGGCAGGTGCTGGGCCCACGATCCTCACCCAGCCCCGGCAGCCCCGGGTGGGGGTCCAGGATTTTAACAGCCCCCTCCCCCACCCAGTGCCTTTAATGTAGAGAAGGAGCGGGTTGATCAAACGCATTTGTGGGTCACAGGAGCTACGTGGTCTCCCAACATGGTTCCGGGGTCAGGGAGACTTGGGTTCAGCCCGATCGGGCAGCCCTGTGGCAACCTGGGCTCACAGTCGCTTGGGAACAGGAACTTCCTACTCATTGGCTCCACTTTGATGGAGGCAGGTCGCCCCTCCCGTGTATGTGCCCGTCAGTGGGGACCCGGGGGCTCACATCATAGACACCCCTCAGCATTAGCTGTTAGCCGTGAGCACAGCTGCCTGCCATCTCAGATACTTCCAGATGCTTCCCTCCCACCTTTTTCTGGGTTTGCTGTGACTTCTCTGTCACTCTTAGGCAGCCTTGTCGGGGTGTCCCCTGGTACCTGGAAGGCAGGGCCCTGACTTGGGGCTCTGCGAGGGTTGAGTAACCAGACATCCGCCCCCTCACCCTGTTTTTGCCACAGCCGCTGGCTTGCACCAAGAATACAGCTTTGTTTTTTTAAGAGTGAAACAAAACTCCTTGAGCCCAGAGGCCGACCGCCGAGCCGTGAGGAACTCTGCCATCCGCTGCCCGCGCCATGAACCCAGAAGGCTCCGAGCTTCTCCCAGGTAGCAGCTTCCTCCTTTCTGGCTGGCTCCTGCTTGAGAATTGTGGGGTCTCCAGCGAGGTCCCCTCTAGATCAGGAAGAAGACTAATGAGCCACTGCAGGCCAAGCAGGCCAGGGGAGCCCCACCCCGGGTCTGTGGGGGCAACTCCCCTTGGCCCCTCCTCTGGGTGCCTTGGCAACCTGCTCCTCCCACCCTCCCCCCAACACCTTCCATGACCCAGAAGTGAGGCCAGGACAAGCACAGGAGCAGTGGGGAGGAGGGGGACAGGGGGCCGGGATGGGGCAAGCAGGTTAGAGCAGGTACACCAGCAAGGCTGGGCGCTTCTCCTGCCCTCTGGCACCATCCTCACCGCTGCCCCTGGGGAATTACCAAGGAGACCACTCTGACCTCTCTGCCAGGTTCAGAGGTCACTCAACTGGACCCCAGTCTGGCCTTTGCCCCCCTTTGCACTGTGTTACCTGGGTCACCTTACCTAACTCACCTGTCCCTGGAAAGCAGTTCTCCGTGTTCTTAGGAGACTCAGACTTGAGCTATGGATACAATCGTGGCCTGGGCCAGGGCCCGCCCCGCATGGTGTCACCTAGGTGTTGCTCCTGGCCCTCTGCCTGGAATCCGTTAGCCCCGGGGAAATGCCCATCTCGCAGAGCCCATCTGCAGCCCCCCAAGCCCCAGATTCCCCCCACCCCTGTCTTTGTTCGGGCACTTACTCTATTTGGAATATAAGTGATATAGAGTAGCCCCGATTTTGAACGGGCTGCCTGGCTGTGGGTCCTCACCCGCGCGCTTACAAGGGACTTATGAATACTCCACTGCAGGCACACACAAAGGTTAATAAAAGGTTTATTTACAAGGGAAAAAAGAAATAAGGAAAATGTACAACTCAGGGAGAAAATAGGGAAATAAAGTCTTTTATGCATCCTACCCGATCCGCCGACCTGGAAACCCAAAGTCACTCTCAGAGCTGGCCGGACGCTGCGAGCTGGCGGAGAGCCAAAATGGGGGGGACCCCTCCAAAGCCCATGTGTCTGGCTTTATACCAACCTGGCTGCTTAACCCCACCCTCAGGTCCCAGCCACCTTCCCTTTGGTGGTGATGGGATTTGTCTTTCCCAATGTCTTGATGGCTTTGGTCTGGAGTGGGGGTGGGGTCCACAAAGCCTGTATGGAATTAGCTTTAGGACATCCTTTCCCCCTAACATAAGCACCTGCTCCCATCCTGGGGCAGGGACTCCTTGTGTTGAACTCAGAAACCCCTTTAGACGCTGGCTCTCAGCCCATCCCCCTCCACATTGACCGCCATCAGGCAACACACAGAAGAGGGGCCCTGGGTTTTCTCTGTCTAAGCCCTGGTTTCCGGTCTCCCTTTAGCAGCTGGCTTGCTTCTTATGTGCTTCTTAAATGCTCTCTTCCCAACCTGTCACTGCATTGCCCAGGCTACCAAATCAGACCCACCCCAGGGCTCACATGGGAGAGCAATTGTGCTGAGTCATGCTGCAGAGCAGTGGGAGGGGGAGCAGAAGCCAGGAGCTTCCTAGCAGGCAGGCTCCTTGACAATAGAGGGGTGGGGGGACGCATGAGGACAACCCCCCTAGGAAGGAAGATGGTGTCTTTTTTACTAGGTGACCAGCTGGGTGCAAAGGTACCAGTGGGGAGCCATGTCCCCTGAGACCAGCCTGGGGGAGAGGAGATGCAGGTGATTCTGAGGCTCAGAGCTCAGGGTTCTGCACCCCACCCACCCCTGCCCAGGCAGAAACCCAACCTTCCTTGTTCTCCCCCGCTAGAGCGCAGCAGCTTGCTGAAGGAAGTCCTGGAGTATGTCCTGTGCACAGTGAGCAGGGAGGACCTGCTAGTCCTGCTGACTGACCCTCAGGCCTGGGCGACATTTGTGGCTAAGGCTGATTTCTCCAGGTAACCTCCAGGGGGTGCCCCGGAATGTCACCCAGATGTCCTTCTCTGGGTTAGTTTGCTCCTGGCAGGCACACCTCCTCCAGGCAGTACCCTGTGGTCGGTGTTGAGGATGCCCCTTCTACACTGTCTGCAAGGAATGTGTTGTTCATGTCATTTGCTGGGTTGAGAAGAGATGAGGTGTGGGGGAGGGACTTGGGAGTTGTGTATCCTCAGCCTGTGGCTTCCCCATCCTCTTCCTTAGTTTTAATCTGTTCAATGTTTTTGTGAGGAAAAACAGATAATGAAGTGCTCAGACTGGTCACTGACACACAGGAGATGCTCAATTAAATTAGCATTTTACAAAGTTGCTGAGAAGAGACAGGAGCCAAAGGTCTTTTGCTGCTGACGTGAACCAAGCAGGATTTCCGTGTGGGACAAGTCAGATACCACCTGAAACAGTCATTTTGTTTTGTTGTGGTTTCTGGCTAGAACCTCTTATGCCTACTAAGGAATCTTACAAACTCTACCTTCAGGTCCATGAGGAGGATGCCGTGGCACCTCATCTATCCCTCTTCAGATCTGGGTTCTGGACTTGAGCCTTGGATCTCAGATGGGACATCTGTCCAATGGGAATACCAGTCAGCTGATGGGATTGTGGAGCAGGCCTTAGAGTGGGCTAAGGTGGGGAACTAAATGCAGTCATCCCAACCAATGTTTCTCTTCCCCCTAATTTGATATTCTCAATGCTGGGCATCAAGGGCCCTAGGAGATTATCCTCCATTCACTACCTGGAGGTCTGGACTGTCCTGCTCTGGTCTATGTAGAAAAACTCATGACCCACATGATGGCTGGTTGCCTTAGTGATTACTTCCAACATCGGCATGAGTGGGTGCCACTTTTGGGTAACTAAAGGATGCTAAGGGGACTCCTCCATTCCTGCTAGACAGAGAAGTGCTTCCCCCACCAGCATGCAGGTACAAACCTTGTCAGGTTTTGCAACATGTGCTGCTGGTTCTTAACATTCCCTGAGTCCTTAAAAGGTTCCATAAAGTCCCCCTTACAAGATGTGCATGCATGTGAAGCTCTCAGCACGGAAGAGGTGAGTTTGGCTGATGAACTGAGAGTTCAGGGGTGGTGTCAGATCAGAGCTGGAAATGGGCAGACTGAGGGGAACCAGGTGAGCAGCACACCTCCTGCTTCCCAGTCCAAATGGCTTCAATGCACCCAGTTCCCTCAGTGGGAACGAGCCATGGGCATCAGGCTTGGAGGAGAGAAAAGAAGAAGGAAAATAATCATAGGGTTTCTTCCAGCTCTGCATTTCTGGGATTTTATAATTCTAATGCCCAGGTGAGTCAATTTTCCAAATCTGGGGGCAGAAGCCCCAAGAACTCCCTTACTTTTCATGTCAGCTGCAAAAGGGGTGTCCTCGAAATCCCTTTTGTGTTTGAGAATTCCCTAGATGATGCACAGAACTCACTGGAAGTTGTTATGCGCACTTGCAGTTTACTACAGAGAGAAGATATAGGCTAAAATCAGCAGAGGGTGAACTCATAGTCTGGGAGGCTTGCAGCTGTGACACTTCCATTGTCCTCAGGAAACTTTGCTGTCCTGGACTCAGTGTGTGACAGGAGGATGGTGCATTGCCACCCAGGGGAGTTTGGCCTTTTAAAGGAAAAAAATTTCTGACACTGTTGAAATGATACAGAAGCAGCGTGTTTCCAGTCCATTGCACTAGAGGAGAGAGATTGGTTTGAAAACAGCAAAGACAGGTACAATAGTCAGTGAGTGAGTGAGTGAGGAGGGCGGATGGGTAGAAATTGACCAGAAGAGAGGATGAGAGCAGGAGGATTCACGTTCCACTGACCCAGCAGGACCATTGCTCAGACAGTGGCTCCACTAGAGGTCAGGGACTTGTCCACCAAAGGTGGGGGATGTGAACTTGCTCTGATATCAAGGGTGACGGGATATCAAGAGTGGGGAGATTCTGCTAAATACACATAGCAGGACTCTGGCTAAGACAGGGTAATACAAGTGAGGAGGGGCAGGACACAAGAAGCCAAAGTCAAGGCCTTGTTAGGAGAGGGGCTCAGAGTCACTGAATTCTTCTCACTTGAGAGGTCCTTCACCCCAAGCCTCCGTGTACACAGCTTGATGGGGGTTTGATCACCTGCTGCCCACATGACTGGCCTGTAGCCTCCAGTCCCGGGTGGGAATGGGTATCACATCACCCCCAAGAACACCCCCACACCCCAGCATTTCTTGTACTGTGAGCCTGGCAGTGGCCATGACCCAAGTGAACTCACCCTGTCACTCAGGACATTCTACGGCTTGGTGATCACGCTCAGCAGCCAGGCACATCAGGCAGCTCTGTGGTAAGCTAATTCCTCCCTGCACACTGTGATTCTCTAAATGAGTCTTTCTGCTCCAATTTACCCTGTTGTCCAGAGTTCTCACTCTACACACACGTGCTGTGGTGGCAAGGCTGACCTGCCTGCGAGTAGAAAGGCCTTCATCAAATACCTACTACTAAAGAGCTTTTTTTTTTTTTTTAATTTTTGAAAGAGTTGGGTATATTATAAAAGGGAAGGGCAGGAAAGGATGCTTGCACAGAGACAGGAGGACTGAGAGCTGCCCCTGAAGGGGTGAAAGGGACTGGCTTGCTAAAATAGAGGCCTGCATAGACACAAGGGCAGCCTTGGGAGGAGCCTGCTCTGCTGCTTTGCAAAGGGAAAAGGCTGGCGAAGAGAAACAGCTGCATGGTCCCAGGTGGGCATGAGAAGGAGCATCTTCACATGACTTTCCTTTCTTCAGTCTCGGTCTGAATACATACTAGGAGCATCAATAATGTACGGACCATATTTGTTCATAGAAAAATCCTTCACTCTTACAACATTTCTTCTATTTGATTTATAGTGAAAGCACTGATTTGTGCAGGATAGGCCTTGTTGTGCCCACTTTGCAGATGAGCAATCCCTTTCTCTGTGTCACTGGCCTCACTGTTACAGGGAGGAGGCAGTTGCGCTGCGGGAAGAGCTGAGCCAGTTGAGTGATGAAGACATGCGCCAAAAAGAGCAGGAGGGCAGGGAGAAGCTTTTGCAAGTCTTCCCTCACATGAAGGTGAAGCTTGAGGAGCACATAGCTCAGCTCCTCCAGCTTGCAGACAAAGCTGGCAAGATACACAGAGACTGTACCATCTCCAATGTGGTGAGCAACTCCACGGGCATTGTGTCCGGCATCCTGACCATCCTGGGGCTGTCACTGACACCCGTGACCGCAGGGGCCAGCCTGGTCTTGTGTGCAACTGGGATGGGGCTGGGGATAGCCACCACTCTGACCAAGGTGTCCACGAGCATTGTGGAACAGTGGCGCATGTTATCATTAAAATCTAAAGCCCAACCCATGGCATCAGATCAAAAAAACAAAGGGGAGTTGCCGGAGCAGATTGCAAATAAGGACATACCCAAAATTTTTTCTCTAGTAGAGAATATTATCAACGGTCTGGAAGACATTGAGAAGTGCAAAAATCTCAACAATTTCACCAAAATTAAACAGGCAGTAGCTGGCCTCCTGTCCAGTAAACGTATGTCAGCCCAAGGCTCCAGGCCCCTCAACATAATCCTTGAAGCCACTCCTCAGGCCTTGGGCAAAGCAGCCCGAGTCATGGGTATTTTCTCCACAGTCTTCTTCCTGGGGGTAGATGTGTTCTTCCTTGTTAAAGACTCAAAGCACTTGCACGAGGGGGCCAAGCTAGAGTCGGCTGAGACGCTGAGGCAGCAGGCCCGGGACCTGGAGAGGATGCTGGAGATGCTCGGCCAGATCCACAGGAGTCTGCGGCAGGACCCGGCCCCGTGACTTCCGCAGTGCAGGGAGCAGGGACATGTGGGACTGGAGAGGAGGGCGCTCGGGAGAGGGACGAAAGGGGGGCAGAGGGGATGGGCTTGGGTGGAAGGAGTTGGACATTTCTGTACTGACTGCCTGGGGTGCGGCGGAACTGGGAGCCTGGGAGCGGGGGGAGACTGCATTTTGGAGTGGACACGGCACGGGGGCACGATATAGAGGAAGCTGAAGATTATCAGTAAAATTGGAGGCACTTGAGAAGCGACAGCGCCTGCTCCGGTGAGTCTCCCGTTGGGTCACTGACCCAGCAAGAATGACGTCTTCCCCCTGCGGTCTCCAGGCCGCCCTCCCGCATGGACGCCCCTTTGCTTTCAAGGGCTTTGTCTTACTCAGGGGTTCTGGTCCCCCCCCCCATACATCTGTGTACTTCTTTTATTTTTATGCAATTATTTTTGGAAATGCAGATGTACTTTTTAAATTTTAACAGAAATTACCAAATTACACTTTGATCAAGACCATGTTAAAGTGGCCAAACCCCCCCACCACCACATCCTTACCAATATTGTCTTTTAAATTCTGCCAATTTGATGCATAAGAATACTACTTCCTGCTTGTGAGTTGAGCATCTTTTCACTGATCTGTTGGTTTTACATCCCCTGCTGGGAACGGCCTATCATACCATTTGCCTGTCTTATACTGGGGTGTTCTCCACATGCTAGAGATGGATCCATGTAATATATTTAGCACGAGAGATGTGAATGCTGTTTTCCAGTCTGTTGCTTGCTTTTAATTTTTATTTATGACATCTTTTACCGTACAGAAGTTTCCACATTTCTGCAGTCAGATGGCTCGTCTTACTCAGGAAGCCATCCTCTCCTACAAGTATAATCAGATTTTTTTTAACATTTTCTTTGAATTCCTTTGTACTCTCATTTTTTAATTAAAATGTTTGTAATTTGGTAATTGCTTTTGTATATGTAAGGAAAATGTTACTCAGGGATTCTTGATGGTGGTGGTGATGGTGATTGCGTGGGAAATGGAGTGACTCAGGTCTTTTTCACCTCCTGCCGGAGGACCCATCCATGAAACTTCTGCAGTGCAGGGTCTTCCACAGAGCAGCCTCCACAGCTACCACCCGTGGTCTCGAACCCTCCTGGGATGCCTCTCCGCGGGGAGCAGTGTGGGCCTGGGGCATGCGTGCCTGTGATTGTGGACACCTGCGCTGAGAGCACGGGGCATGCGAATAAATAAGCACAAACACCTGGGCCAAGGAGCAGGGGGCCAAAGGGGCTCCTCAGCTCTGGTATTCTCAGCAGCAGCATCACTCTGGGGCTGGGGACTCAGTTGCCACTTCCTTGCCTGGCCTGCCTGTGTGCCTGGTGCCCTGCTTCAGCCTTAAGGGGCTGTAAAATCACCAAAGTCTCCAAAATCCTCTTTTGTCCGCCCAGATCAACCATGAACCCATCCGGCCCAGGACGGAGGCGAAACAGTGATGATGGTCTCGGTGGTGACAGCAGAGGGGGTGCAGAGTTTGACAATTTCTTTTGTCCTTGAGACCAGGGAGCACCAAGACCTTGAGGCTGCAGTGAAATCCCAGATGCTGTGCTGGAGCTCAGGTCATTTGAAACAAAAAAACAGCACAATTGAAGCCAGAAATCATCACAGGGCAAGGAACTTGCAACGCCTGAAACCAGCCTGTGTGACTCAAACCTTACAACTATGGGAGTTGCTTTCTCCTCAGTTGAGGGGGGCAGGTGCGGGACGAGATAGTTCAGATCTGTCTGGTTCCCCCACTGTGTCTTATAGACTGCTGGAATAAACACGGCCTGTGCTCCGCTGGGCTGAGTGACCGGTGTGCTCCCGGCCCGCAAGGACCGGGGACCAAAAAGGTGGCTGAGACCTGAAGCACTTGTTTGCAGGTGTGAGAGAGGCCAGTGAGGCATGGAGGCCAGAGAGACAGTGAGACAGCAGCATCCTCGTCCGGCTTCCCTCTGTGTCATGTGGACCCTGCCAGAGCTGCCAAGAGAGTCTCCTGTTCGCTGTTCTCTTCCCACCCTCCTCCACGCCGGCCATGTTGACCCTTCAAAATATAGACCTTCTCACGTCCCTGCTCGGACTATCCCCAGCTGCCCAGTACTCTCAGGACCAAGCCCAGAGACTCGGGGCAGCCTCAGAGGCCTGTGTCTCCTGAAGAGGAAGTGGAAACAAGGCTTACTCACACAGGGTTTATCATGGAAGGGTCTAGAGGGTAGGACTGGGGGCAGGGAAGGAGGCAAATTTGACACAAGGACATATTCGTGACTTGGCCACCATGGAGGCCCAAAGGTCGACATCTTTGGTTGGAGAGGGCAGCTCCAATTTCAGTCAGCAACATCACTAAAACATCCAGGAAGGCAGGTGAGGTGCTTCCAAGTCATTAATGCCTGGTCTCGCTCACATTTTGCTGAACTTTCTGCCAGATCCTCTGCCCTCAGACAGAAACGGTGGCTGTGGAACACTCTAGGGTGTTCCTGATGAGCAGCACGGGGTGTTTCCCAGGCCACTCTGCCCGGGGGGAGTGCTGTCCTCAACCAGAGTCTTCGTTGTTTCCTGGGGAAAAGATTCTGGATGGAAGGCAAGGATGTTAAAAAGATTAGAGCTGAGCCTGGTGACAGGTATGTGGAGAAGAGGTAGGTGGACAGAGCTGTCAACATGAGACCCAAGCAGGAAAGCCTCCTGTCTAGCGGGGATGCTCAGAGAAGGTCTCCACTCTCAGAAACCAGCAGTCCCCTGGGGCTGCATGTTACCCCTTCCATGGGCACCCATAGACCCCAAAGCGGGCTCTGTGACAGCGTGGCTACGTGTGTCCACGCAACCGGACCCCACCTCATCCAGGCTGACTTGGGACCAAAGCACCCTCAGTCCCAGAGGTGAGCGCCCAAGACTGGAAAGAACTGTTCTGTGGGCATCTCAGCTCCCCGGCAGCTGGAGAACATTCTTGAGATGTTGGGCGCTGCCCGGTCCCATGGGCCATGCTCTGAATCCACACCCAGGGCTTAGCACATGTTCTCCCATCACCATGTTTTATGAATTTAAGGGAATTATGATGTTAAGATGAAGGTGAAAGCACTCGTAATTGCACAGCAACATTCAAAAATGGTGTTTTCAATGCGTGTGACCCGCTGTCTGACGCCTTTAGTGGCGAAGAGGGGAAACCTCCCTCTGGGCAAGCAAGCCAAGTGGGGTCACGGAATTAGCCATATCCGATCACTCGCACTCTTTGATGTGGAGATGACAAAGAGGTCATCGGGCTGGATGTCCTAGCTGGTCTTCATTCTCCAGAGAAACTTGCATGGTTGCTCCATGGGAGGACGAGGAGCGGAGCTATAGAATTCAAGGGATCCTCTAGGATTCCTTCCTGGACCACCGTGACAAGCAGCAGCATTAATAGAAAGTTTCAGCAATGACAGAGGCAGGAATAGCAGGTTCCACAGGAGGGGATTTTGCCTGTAGGTCAGAGGAACAGTGCATGGAACAGCCAGTTAAAGGCTTGTGTCGGTGACAGCGAAGAATGGTCAGTGGTGGTTTGGGCCTTCGCTGTACCTCTTTGCTTCCCAACAATGCGTGTGGTATCTGTGCACGCATTGGGACAGGAGCCCAATGGGGAAGGAAGCACTGGCAGCAGGCTGAGGTCCTCCACTCCATGACTGCAAGTTGCAGTGGGAGGAGATGTTGCGTGTTGTCTCCATCTGGGGAAAGGATGAGGGGCCTTGCTGTTTAATATGGGATCACCACATCCATAATGGGTTAAAAAGAGACAATTTTGTTTGTCTGAGAAGGTTGCACATGTATCTGTGTCATGGCCGAGAGGTTCCCTCTATATAGCAGCACAAAGTCAGGGGTTTCTTGAATCAGTCCCCCCACTAGGGTTTGTACCCCTATTATTCATTCCTCTTTCTCATCCCTTGGCCTGATCTTTTGGTCCAAGAGTACAGTCTCCTGGATACAAGCTTCTTGGTCTCAACACAGTGTTTCCGTGACCTGCTGGCATCTGGTTTCAGACTTTCTTTTTTCGATTTAAACACTGTTCCAATGCAGCATTTGGAATTTCATTGGAGTCAGGGGTGCCGCAGTAAATCTTGGCCCTAGAGAGCACCAGCGATTTGCCAAATGTTCCATCCATTTTGCTACCACCACCACCATCCTCCCACCATCACCATCATCATCATCTCCATCATCATTATTTCCACCACCACCATCATCATCTCCATCGTCATCACCAACCATATCATCCTCTCCACCATCACCATAACCATCATCATCATCATCTCCATCATCATCATCATCATCATCTCCATCATCATCATCATCTCCATCATCATCATCATCTCCATCATCATCATCATCTCCATCATCATCATCTCCATCATCATCATCATCATCATCATCATCATCATCATCACCATCACCATCATCAAGAAATCACTGCCCGGAAGGCTGAAGCTCCCAGTTCCTACCACCCTGTAGGGGGGTGTGGGGTGTGGCGAGGAACCTCACCTTTGCTTTCCCAGACCTGAGCATGCCATGGACCGGTCTGGGCGTGCCCCCCACCTCCTCCTTGTGGTGCTTCAATGACACACTTGAGTTGCAGCTGCCACCTTTGCTGTGAGGCCAGCAGCTTGAGACCAACACCTTGGGCCAGGTTTCAGGAGTAAGACAACGATGTGACTCCACTACTGGGGACCCCTGAGCTTTATGTGGACCCCAGGTTCTACCAGGTGGGAAAACGATGATCATCCTTTTCCATCTTGTAATTTTTTTTCACAGTTTAATTGCACAAAAGCTGCCCCCATGAAAGAAGCAACTGTCTGAAGAACGGGCAGCTTGCCCTAAGCAGGTGTGCAGACCCCTGGGACTCTGGAGAGGGAGAATGGGCCCAGTGGAGGTCGGAGAAGCCTGGCATCATTGCTTGACTCTTTTGAAGATGAGAAAGAAGAGCTGCTGGATGAGAACCAGAAAGTTCAGCCCCATGAAGAAAACCATTAAGGATGCAGACTTATACACCTGAGGGGGGCTTTCAGGAGTCAAGTGCTTTTAGAGCTTCCTCTTCTCTTTCTGCTTGAGGGATACAAAAATTACCTGGAAGCTGCAAAAACAAGCCCATGACCACACCCCAGTGGGGAGCTGAGTGTGTGCAGTGGCATTAGCAAGTGGCTAACAGTAGCTGACAGAAAGACTGCCGTGGACTTGCCCGGAGGGACAGTTGCGGCCCTTGAAAAAGTGCATGCATTGAAGGTCAAGAGAAGCCGAACTTCTGAGACCAAGTGCAATTCCATGGGTCACGCCAAGGAGGAGGACGAGAGGCATAGACGAAGGGCATCGGAACTCCTTGCAGATCTGCCCAGTCGCAGGTGCTAGCCCCAGCCGTGGAGAGCAAACAGAACGCTGGTTATCCAAAAGGACAGACACGTCTTACGTGTGTCCACTGACCATTAAAAGGGGAAGAGAGTGGAATTATATTGTATAGCTTATATTGAAACAAAATAATATATATATTGTCTTTGTCCATATATATAACAAGGTAAATATTTCAGTTAAAATAATTTTATGAACTGCGTGTGTGAGGGAAGTTGATCCGTGAGAGTGGTTCCCGCCTGCCGCCAGGACATACCCATGACCAGAGAAAAGTCATTTTGTGCACAGCTCTTTAAAAGTCTGAATGACATTCCCTAATAATGTTGTAGTTTGTTTCCTTTGCCAAGAATTGAAAATGTAAAACATTTTTTAATAATGATAATAAACTTCATGCTGCCTAAAAAAAAAAAATCACTGCCTTGTTCAGATGCCTGCTGAAAACAAAGGTGAGTGGATCCTGAAAAGGTCAGGCTGGAGACCACCCCAGGCAAAGACCACTCTCGCTCAGACATCAAACCAAAGTAAAGGTCAACAGAGGAGCTGGTGTTGCATCCCCTGCCCGCCAACAATTCTCCCCAGCTCTCTCCCATTTTCAGTAATTCATTGCTGCCTTCTCATTGCTTGTTCCTCTAGACCTCTTTAGTCATGTCCAGGCGACTTCTTCAGTTTAAAAGAGAAAGTTCTTCCCGCAGCAGCTCCTCTGTTGACCTTCACCTTCTTCCAGGTGCCACGTTTCTGCTTTCTCTTTGACTCACCTGCCTCTGCATTACCTCCTCCTTGCTACACTCCGTACAAAATGCAAACCTCCTTGTCAATGACTGCTAGGAAGCAAATTTAAAGTTGAATAAAATAAATTTATTAATAAGGTTATTCAGAGTCAAACTGATAACCAGGACCAGGAGAACAATATCAGACTTCTCTAAGAGACTGGTTTCCATCCCTAGAGTGTTTGGCCATATTTTATATGGTAAGTTAGATGCACAGATAGAATACATGATTATTTTTTCTTGACAAAGGAAAGAAGACATCTACCTGATTTCTAACATTTTCAGTTAACTAAAGGATGTTGGTTTCTCTAACAAATTTAGTGAAGTGATAAAGGAGAAACACAACACTTAACTACAAAGGAATCACCTGATCTCACAGAGCCAATTCAGTCAGAGTTCTTTGTATTTGACAAGATGGAAGGACCTTATCCTAAAGTACCCCTGTAGACATGAGGGTGCAACCAGGCAGTTCTCTCACTTCCTGCGGTTCACAAACACCATGAGGAATTTGGGAAAGAGGGGAGCCATCTGTGGACACTTTTGACACTTCGTTGGTTTCTCACCTCAGGGTTCTTCACAGTGAACCAGCCACTGTTCTGATGACTCCAACCTCTGAGGTGGCACTGACAGGGCAGAGGCAGAAACTATTTTTTGCCTACAGAACAAAATCTAGAATTGTCTTGTCTTAGTTCCCAGCCTTAACTCCCAGGACCATAACCTTCGTCTCGCCCTCTTTGTTCCTCTAACAAGGTAGCTCCACTCTGTGTCCCACACACGTCTTTGCTCTCTGCCCCGGGGGAGGTGGGGTCAGGCCCTACTGCACACTCTTGTAGATGTGGTTGAGCTTTTCCAACATCATCTCCAGTTCCTGGGCCTGCTGCATCAGCTTCTCAGACAGCTCCGTCTTTACCCCTTGTTGCAAGTTCTTCGACTCTTGCATAAGACTGAGCACATCCATCAGAAGGAAGAAACCTGCAGTGGCCCCACTAAACAACCGGGTTCCTTCGCTCATTACTACACTAGTGGTCCCCGCTGCACTCTCCACCAGCCTGCCGCTTTGGACCAAGATTTCAGCTGCTATCCCGGGGTTGATTCGGGTCATCTTGATGGACTGAATATATTTTGCAATGCGGTATGCAGCCATAAAACTGTTTCTTAAGAAACCAAACTGGGATGAGTTATTTAGAATGTCCCTGGCCAGTTGCACTATATCAAAGTCAGCTGATTCCAGGTGATTGGCTTCAGCTTCTACAGACGACTTGCTTATATGTTCCACGATGGTGGTGGTCACCCTGGTGACAGCAGCCGCTGCTCCCAGTCCCAGCCCGGTTACTGTCAATGCCAGACTGGCCCCAGTAGTAAAGGATAGCACGCCCAGGCCAAGGATGGTTAGGATGCCAGAGAGTATGCCGGTGGAGTGGGCCACCGCGCTGGAGATGGTGCAGTCTCTGTGAACCTTGTCAGCCCTGTCTGCAAGTTCACGGAGCTGGGCTATGTGCTCCTCAAGTTGCACCTTCACCAAAGGGAATAGTTGCAAAAACTTCTTCTTACACTCCTGCTCCTTCTGGTGCATGTCTTCATCACTTATGACCTTGGTGTTTTTCAACTTCTTCAGCTCTTCACGTAGTGCTTCAGCCTCATCCCTGTAACAATGAAGGTCATTGATTAAGAGGCAGTTTGCAGGTCTACCTGCGAAATCACAATTTGTAAAGAATTTTTCTATCAACATAAAATGTTCTATACAATGTAAATGCTGGCTAGTACTTCTTGAGTCAAAGAATGAATAATGAAAGTCAGCCTAAGAGGCTCTCCATAGTAGCTACTTGATAATGACATCTTCTCACTCAAGGGCAAGTCAACTCTGTCAGCACAGCAGGTGTAAGTAGAGTGGGGACCCTGTGGATGGACAGAGAAGTAGGATTGGAGCAGACACACCTTTATTCAAATAATCTGAGTGTGCAGTGAAGAATTAAGCTGACCCATATACGGATCTGCCCTTTGCGCCTTGGCTACTAGTGGGGCTGTCCAGGGTGCTAGAGGTCCTGTTGGATAGGAAAGTTTTTGCATGCCTGGGCCTTTGGCCACTGAACAGTCTAGTAATATGTTGTGTGATGGGGGCATGGGGTTGTGTGGTATAAGTTTGCACCTCTGAGAAGGGCTGGAGGTCACACGTCAGTCATGTGGGTAGCCCGAGATCCAGCCCCAGTTAAATTCTATACCTTGAGGCTTGGGTTTAAAAGACTGTCTTTGAGCAAACTTTAGCTCTTCTGAATCTCATTTTTTTTTTGTTTTAACTGTCACTTCTTTATCCAGTTTTTGTTGACTTATATTGCCCAGTCCTAGCTAGACTCCTGTATGAATCTCCTGCTCTTGAAATCTCATTTTGCTTAATATCTGACCAAATCAGTCATATTCTCATGGAACAGATGACATTGACCAGAGTATAAGCGCAGAGCTCAAGAGGTGGGTAGGAACAGCTCAGGACCCTCCAACCCCATCCCAGCACCGCCTCTTAAAGACCAGAAGGATTCTGCAGTGTTTGTAAGATTCTTTAGAGAGGGAGAAGCTTTTCTCCCAGTCAGAATCCCCAGGACACCCAATGGTTATGTCATATTTTTCTGATTTGTCACAAAGGAAGTCCTGCCTGCCTCTTAGCTCTAGAAAGAAGGCCCTAGATCTATCTCTCCCCAGCAAACTTCTAACCAGTTAAGATTAACTGAGCACCTATTATGTGTCGGTTCTTAATCTAATCTGTTAGTCAGCAATATCTGATTTCCTTCAAAACAACACTGACCAGATAAAGAAACTAAGACAAGTCCCAGTTGCTCCTGGTGACCTGAGCACCCTGGTCTGCTGCTGTCCAGGAGCACAAGTCCTTGTCCAGGAAAAGGACAAGATTCCAGAAAAAAGACAAGTTTCCAGGAAAAGAACAAGGCTTGAGGGCTGGCCGTCTGTCAGGGCACACAGCAAGGGAAGAGTTGGAGTGATTGGAGCAGGTAAAGGAGACGTTGGGGAGCAGGTGGTCGTTTGTGGGTGGAATATTTGTGGGAGGGCCGCACCTAAGGGGAACAATAACTATACAAAGGTGACCAACAATGTAAGAAAATTAAAAATTTAAAAACAACAATAACACACACACACACAAAAGAAAAGAAGAGAAATTAAGGCTGAGCGTGGGTAAGCCAAGGGCCTATAACCTGCCCCCCACCCCTTCATCTCTTCTTAGCCCAGGTCATTCACTGCCAACAAATGACACAGACAACTTATTCCTCATGGATTGTTGAGATGGGACATCCTCAACCGTAGCCACAGGGTACAGCCAGGAGGAGACTAGCCCAGCAAGGGACAGACACCTGGGTGGCATTCCTGGGGCACCTGCTAGAGGTTACCTGGACAAATGAGCCTCAGTCACAAATGTCTCCCAGACATTAGCTTCATTAAGCAGGGACTGCAGTTCCTCCCTGCTCACCGTGCACAGGACATACTCGATGACATCTTTAAGAAAGTTGTTCTCTAGGTGGAAAGAACAAAGAGGAAAATTGAGGTGCTGAGTCTCAGGGATCAGCAGGAATCTTCCTGAGCAGCTGTCACCTGGTGCTCTGGATGGTGTTATGGACTGAACTGCGCCGCTCAACAAATTAATATGCTGAAGTCCTCACCCCACAGTGACTGCATTTTGGGTGAGTTTAGGGGCTCTAGTGTCACACAGATGGGAGGTGGCCAAGTCTGGACTGGGGTACCATTGAGCAGCATGCTGACCCGTGCAGAGGTCAGAATGACCTCATTTGTAATGCTCCAAAGAGGGGGGCTTGGCTGAGGTGAGAGGGCAGAACTTTCAGGTTTACGGGTTTACCTGCTCTCAGCTCCCTGTGGCACCCCGTCCATCCTTGGGGGCCCTTTCCTTCTACCCACCTCTTCCCCCCACCATCCAGTGGACTATTCTAGACTCACTCCTGGGTAATTTGCTGAGCAACAGGGGGTCAAGAAAGTCAGCAGGTCGCCATGGCACCTTGAGGAGAAGAGCAGGCAGGAGCTGTCCACATAGACCCCTGGGCTGAGGGTTCCCCTTGACCTCTCTTGGGGATTCTAGGTTACTCATAAATCCCCTTTTTGGTTCTTGATACTCGAGAGGCTGCTTCAGCCTGGAGGAGGGGCCCAGGAGCCACCCTCTACTTTAAGTCCCAAGCAAGAACCAGCTGAAGAGGGCGCTGACTACCTGGGTGAAGAGTGTGGTTGTCTTGGCTCATGGTGCCAGCAGCAGGATCTGAGTCTGTCTTTGCCAGCTCACTCTCTGCACCTGGGCTGGAAAGGTGTTGCTTCACCCTTGGTGAGGATGAAATAAATTGTAGAGTCACGCGTGGAGAAAACCATCACCAAGTTTAGGTTTTCACCTATACTTAGGTTAGATCAAGTTTTAATAATCATGCCAGACCCAGGACTTGAACCCAGGAATTCCTGGTTCAAATTCCATGTTTGTGAAGGCTCCCTTTGCACCCATAAATATTAACCCATGTGTGCACATTCGTTAGAAATGACTCCTCTTATCCCAAAAGGACATCTTGAACTCTGAACACCACTTCTGCTGATAAATTTCCTGGTGCCACAATTTCCCGAAGACTGGGCCCTCCTACTTCTGCAAGATCCTTCAACTCATGAGGGCCAATGGCCCTGCTGTGGACAGCACAGCCCTCCTGCTGGAGCCCAGGCCTTGCTGCTGCCCTCCCTTAAAATGTTGGGCATTGTATACCTTCAGAAAATAAAATAAAGGCTGGCAGAAGTGGGCCTCCCTGGTGGCGCAGCGGTTGAGCACTGGGTTGCGAAGCTGCCCGCAGCCTCTGCAGCGCCAGTTCGATCCCCGGCTGCCACCCGGCCATGGGAGGAGGGTCCCACATGGCACGCAGACCTCTCCTGCCGCCCGCTGCTCCCCTCAGCAGTGTACTTCGGTCCTTCTGCCTGCTCTGCTCCCCGCTCTGGCTCTGGTGAATTCTCTCACCCTCCCGCGCTTCTGACTGTACCCAGTGCTTGTATAAATAAATAAAAATAAATCTTTAAAAAAAAAAAAAAAGGCTGGCAGAAGAAATAGAGCTAACAGGTGAATAGAGGTTGTCATCCACAATCATTTCTAAGAAAGTTACCTGAAAATGAGCTATACTAGAAGAAGGAGTAGGTGGAGTGGAGTGGAGGGGAGAGGGAGTAGAGCAGTGTCTTCCAGATTTGCTTGGGGAAATAGCTGGACAAACTTGGGCTCAAATCTGAGCTCTGCTACTGCTTGCTCTGCGATCTTACGCTCGCTAGAGCATTTTTGTGAAAAAGCGGTGGGGGTGAGGGTGTTCTCCCTGCTCCGCTCACCAGGGAATCATCCTCTGAGCTGGAAGGAGCTCCAGGTGTTCTTAGTGCAGGTCCAGTTTCCAGCTGTGTGTCTCCCTGACGACCTGACACATCCTGGGGCCCTGGTGTCCCTGCAAACCAAACAGCAAATAGAAACTCAGCGCTGCTGGAGAGCGCACTGTCAGGCAAGACGAACACCCTGCTGGGTGGAACCAACGGGCAGCCCCCCACTAAGAGTGCACCCCAGAATCTCAGTTAATGAAAATGAATTTGGAATTGAATGGTTTGGGCTGAAATATGTCTAAATTTGAATTTGTGCTGTTGAGTGTAATTTTCCCCCTTTTTCCTGTGTCGTTTGCATTGGGTCCATGCCGCATGTGGAGGGCGCAGGAGGTGAATGGGAGTTGGAAATTTATAAGGGTAAGAATTCCAACTGTGGAACTGAAGAGGAAGGTGGAAGGGAAAATGGTTATATTTAGAAACAGTTAATAGAAGAAGATGAGAAGGGTCTAAATCATTTAGCAATGAGTAAATGCTAAATTTATCCTTGGGTAATTAAAGGGCATTTTTGCTAGGACTTATCACAAAACTTCCCAGAAACCTCAGTTTAAAAAACTGATAGTCTGGGCCTCCCTGGTGGCGTAGGGGTTAAGACGCAACCTATGAAGCGATCCGCAGCCACTACAGCCGAGTTCGATTCCCGGCCGGCCAGGGAGAAACCCACATGGAGGGACAGACCTCTCCTGTCTCGCCCGCTGCTCCCCTCAGCAGTGTACTTAGGTCCGTCTGCCTGTTCTGTTTCCTGCTCTGTCTCTGGTGAATGCTCTTGCCCCTCCACATCTCTGGCCTGTACCCCAATTCTTGTATTAAAAAAATAAATAAATCTTTTAAAAAAATAAAAAACTGATAGTCTTTGGTTTGATTGATGAATGAAATTTTATGAAACCTCAGTAGAGTTCCCAAAACTCTACATAAAATTTTTTCCTTTCCTTATAGGAAAGGCTTTAGACAAATTGGACCTACTGGCATTAATCCAGAAACCTGGAACTTAATGGGAAGCCTGAGGGTAATGTCTCACCTTCCCTTATATATGAATATTAACATCGATGTCCTAAAATTTGCATGAAACTTCTTAAGCATTTAATTTGTCCTGATATAATATTGTTTCTCCATTCTAGTTGTTCAGGAACACTGGAAGTGATAATGTTGAACAAATTTCCTTGTCCACTACGTTATCCAATCTTAAATTTTCATCGGATTTTTAACATTTACAGAATTTTTTTTCTAGAAAAATAACAGGAGAAAGACCTTAACAATATTTAAAGACCCATGCTAGCTGATGGAACGCAAGCTTGAGAGTTTTCTACAAAGGGCAGTTTGGACCTGATGAGTTTTTGCTCGAATTGTTGCATCTGGGACTTCAGCAGTTAAACTCACAGGAAGGAGTGCTCCCGGAGAAGGGAGCTGGCAACATGTGGCTTCAGCTTGGATCCTGTTCTCTGCCCCCTGGAGTGATGGTACCTGGCCATGGACCAGCCAATCATCTCTCTCTCCTCACTCCCCCACCCCTCTTCCTTTTCTCACTCCCTATGTAAATAACTATTGTTGTTTTTTTCTCCCCGTGTGCCTGTTTTGAGTCATGTCTTGAAGCTGTAAGTGCACAAGTGAGGCCCCACCAATGGGGGTAACCCCTGGCCCTCCAGGTTTGTCCCAGATTCACTCAAATATACATGACAAACATACAAAACTAAACATTAACACAGATAAATGCAGATAAGTACCAGACTATCTGATACCAGTACCAGACTCAAACCCAAACAAGTATTTGAACCCCTGGACCTGACCTAAAGTACCTCTATAATTGCTCTTTTATCTTGTCTTAACTTCTTGGGACTAATCCAAGTTTTGCTAGGAGTCTCAGAGCTGGGACTTCAACCCACCAGGGTCTCTCTTTGGGGTGGGACTTGAATCCACACTATTCATGAGACCAATCTCTTTAGGATGGTAATCAAGTAGACCAATAGGCAAGAAAAATTACAAGCTCATATAATGAGGTCGCTCACCCATGTGACATCTGTTTCTAGAACTGCTTCTTTCTGCAACATGTAGGTCATGCTGGCAACCTGGAGCACCACACCAGGGTGGGAGCAATCCAGTCAAAGAAAGTCTAGACAAATCAGTCCTGGTGGCCACTCCATCTGGGTCACCGGTTTGATACCCAGCTAAGGGGCACACTGCTCAATGGGCATAATGCCAATATTATGACACCACCAACTTGAAAGAAAAAAGGTTAATTGCTAGGCGACTGGCAAGGGGACAGAGGTCAAAACTCATATCTGTCCTCCAGTCCAGGAAAGGGAGGGGCTTTATGTTGATTTTGGAGAAATAGCGTCAAAAACAGAAGTATTAAATTTTGTTGACTAAGTAGAAGGCTAGGGAGGGAGTTAAGGCAAAAGGAATGTAGACTTAGCTGGATTCTATCGGATAGTTAAAAATTAGCACACTGGGGAGATGCCCATTTCAAATGTCTGGATCTTCCTTGAGGAGAGAGTGCTCACACGGAATGTGATCCATATTGTTCCTCTTCCAACCTTCTTTGTTTCATGTCAGCAAGTTCTATATCTTGTTTCTGGGAACTTAAGGTCAGTGAGTTCAACACGTAGCCAAGCATCATGCTCTGCTGCTTCTGCACAGATAACCTCAAAAGACAATTTTGAGCACCCAACTGCTGACTAACAGAGCGGATTTGCCATGGTTGCCACGCCAGATCTTTTTCTCCCCAAATGAAGGACTTTTGCGAAAAGGCGAGTGTCAAATTTACTCAGAAAAGATTGAAAACAGAAAGTGAACCCTGGTTCCTTCTGGATTCCACCATAGAGGGAGGTCTGCGTGTGTGGCGGGCACTGTGCTGATACCTTTTCACACAAGAGCCCATTTATTTCTCATATCAGATCTAGGAGCGAAGCCTCCATTTTACATACAAAGAAACGCAGAGGAAAAAATGTCCTGGGTTCTAAGTCACATTTGGCTTTCCTGCTTTGGCGCTGGTGCTCCCTGCCTCTAGGGCATCTAGGAAAAAAGCTGGACTGGAACAGGCTCCTGGAGAAGCCTTGGGGGCCAAGTTTGGCTGAGATGCTGGTAAACTGCTTGCAAGATTACTGAGGGATCTTGTTGAAATGCAGTCTGATTACAAGGATTTCATGGAGTTGATCGGCTGCCCACCAGGCCTGCTGCCAGGGCCCGGCACGAGCATCCTTCGGCCACAGACGCGGATGCTGCTCCGAGAGGGTGTCAACTTGTCGGGGTGACTGAGCGAGAAGCACACCGGGTGCTGATGGCTGAGGGAATGTGTGTGCAGCTGTGTGGCCCAAAATCCCAGTCCCCTCCCTCCAGTATCCCAGGGAAGAGTGCCCCCTGCTGGCTGCTCCCCTTCTACGCAAGGAGACCTTTCAATATTGGAAGCCCCAGAGTCGGCAAGTTCGACCATTTGGCAATTTAGTTAAAACAAGCATTTGTCAGGTTTTGCCATTGTCAGAGTGCTCTGTCCTCCAGCAACCTCAGCTCCCACTGGAGGGGGGTCAGGAAAGCTCACGGGCAACAGGACCCAGTGTTTGTGTTCCAGGCACCATGACCTGAGCTCACCACCTCTGTGGCTTAACCCTCCCAACAATCCCAGGTGGCAGCTGAATTAACTCACAATTTGCACCTGAACATGGGTGAGAGGCCCAATATCCCAAGTTCATCAGGAGGATGCAGAGGTGATCCTCAAGCTCCGACTCACCCAGAGAAGCAGCACCCCTTGGCGAAGGGCTTAAGGAAACTGTGCAGCGGGATCCCAACCCAGAGCGCCTCATGTGGCAGTGAACGTGGCCTGATCTGGTGGCTCCCAAGCTGCAGTGTTGGTGAATGAAAGAAGTCTCTGGGGCCAAGTTTGGCCCCAATGCTGGTAACTGCTTGCCGGCCTCCCCACCGACTGTTGAAGGCATCCCCACTGCTTCCTTCCCGGGCCATGAGCCACCTGCTCAGAGGCTGAAGGTCCACTGGGAGCCTGGGGGTGTCCCGTGGAGAGGCGCAGCTTTCCCGGGGACCATGCAGCCAAACTGCGGGTGAGAGCCGGCGTGGGACCTGCTGTGGCCACCACATCAGTGTGTGTGGTGGGGGCGGGGGGCGGGTATCGTCCCTTCTCAGAGGAAAGGCTTTCCTCCTTTCTCTCCCTCTGGCCACAGTAAGGACACCTGTCTTCATTGCCCACACATACTACTGCCTGGTTTTTATTTATTTATTTTTAAAGATTTATTTATACAAGAACTGGGGTGCAGTCAGAGGCACAGGAGGGTGAGAGGATTCACCAGAGACAGAGTGGGGTGCAAAGCTGGTAGACGGACCGAGGACACTGCTGAGGGGAGCAGTGGGCGAGGCAGAAGTCTGCTGCGCTATGTGGTAGCTCCTGGCGCCCGAAACGAACCCGTGCTGCAGAGGCTGCGCAGTGTGCAGGGGCTTTGCTGCCCCAGCCAGGTAAGACACTGGCAAGCAGCTAAGAAAAGGGCCTCACACGGTGGGGCCGAAGTTTGAAAAGCCTCACACCATGGGGCTGAAGAAAAAGGGCCTCACACGGTGGGGCTGAAGACTTTTAAAGAGCCTCACACCGTGGGGCTGAAGATTCCTTGTACCTCACACTGTGGGGCTGAAGATTAAACATCCCTTTGTTTTTTGTTCTTGGTCATAAAAAGAAAAAACTTCATGGAATATACATTGGGCAATAAATTATACGTATAAGAATATCGTAAGTATATGGCATGGAAAATTACTGCTTAAAAATTAAACACTGAATAATTTGGCCCACTTGACAGTGGGAAATAATTATTGTGCAAGGGCATGCCTGATAAGCAACTCAGAGCTGGCCATAATAGTCCTTATATGGAAGTTCCATAGAGAAGCCTTGTAATGAATCATGAAGTTGATAACGCTAGGAGTTTCTAGGTAGAAAAAAGTTCTAATAACTGATTACTGGGAAGGAACTGGTCTCTAGCTGCAGGTCATATAGATAGAGGGGTCTCCTGATATTGCAGCCTTGGTGACGGGGTGGTGCCAAGGACTGTGAGCTGACCTAGGTAGTTGTTTAGGCTGAAATAATGAGTCTAAGTTTTAATTATCTATTAACTTTTAAGGTCGTTTCTTTTCTCAAAAACACGTAGGTGCCAATTTATCTGTGGGAAAGGAATGTGCTGATTGTTTCTGTTTTGCGTCTATGCATACGATGATGTAATCCCACTGCTTGCCTTAACGTCTGAAGACCCCCTGAGACCCTCAGCAGGAGATATTTGCACCAATATAAGAGTGTCTGTGTCTGCCTCTCTCTCCCCCTCAGCCCTCAGGTTTGGCCTAGGCCGTCTCATCCTTTCAGGGACACCTGACCTGACATTTTGCCAGAGCTGGTCTTCGACAAGGAAGTTTCACAGCGCAGTGCTCAACCCGCTGTGCCACCGGGGAGGCCCCTGCCTGGTTTTTAAAAACCCAGTGCCCTGGGGTCAACAGCAAGGGCTCCATGCAGCGGCTGCCGCTCCCCTAATCCCCTCTCTCTCGGGGTCATGACGCTCAGCTACAGGATTTGGCCTTCGCTGCCCCTCTCCAACCACTCCTCTGCCTGTGACTGTCCCCCTTTCAGCTGCTGCTGTCCTTGTTGTCGTGGCTTAGCCATGACTGTGCAGGAGGCAAGCCCCAGTATTACTCGCAGCCGCCTTGCCAGGCTCCAGTAATACACTTTTAGGGTGCGCAAGCATTTTAAAGATTTTTATCCTCTGAGGACATGATGTGGTTCAGAAAACAAGACTAAACAAAACAAGAGTTAGAGAGACCAGTCTAGCGCCCCATTTATGGGGCAAATCATTTCATCCCATCTGAGGCCTAGATTTCTCTTCTGTGGAATGAGGCCCGGGATGTTGCCGCAGGTTGTCCTAAGGCCCAGGTCCCTGTGTGGTGAGCAGCAGCTTCCCCGTGCAGCTGGCACTCCCCTTCCCAGTGTTGCTTGTCTCATCGATGGGTTCCACTGCCGGGTGGCCATGAGGTGTATGTGTGAGGATCAAGCCTATAACCTGCTGGGCAGCTTAGTCTCCAGTTCATTCTGATGGTGCCCATTGTGAAGTTCCTACCCCATGTTGTATAGTGTGGTGTCTTTTTGCTTCCAGGAGGAGGCACTTCTCGGGTTATAGGAGTTCCTTCAGTATTTATTGCAAGGCTGGTGTCATTTCTTTTGTTAATATGCGATTCCTGAGAAGGAAACCCTTCAATTCTGAGTAATCATGTAAGGATATAATATTCTCTGTGCCTAGTTCTGGAAGGTGAATAGGTGGCATGCTGGGAAGTGGGGGGGGTAGGGGCTCAGAACAAGCTCACAGCGTGGGAATAGTAATTTTCTGAGAGTCCCACAGACTGTCGAGGACAGTTCTACCTTCCCGGAACTTGACCAGCTGGGCAGGGCCCATTAAAGTCATGCAAACAGTACCTCAACTCCATGAATCTAATCTCAGATTTCTAAACAAGGGTGGGGCTGGCAGAGTGGTACTCTGTGGGTGTTTTGTTGAATGACTTGGTGTGATGTGAATTGCTGAGAAGTTGGAGAGTTTGTTTTCCCATCAGTTACCAGCTATATCTACACCCAGAGGGTGTCTGATTGCTACACAGACACACCGCTGGTGACTGGACCTGCACCAAGACCACCTGCATCTTGGTCTAACTGAGGTGGAAGTTTCCTTGGTAAGCTAGGGAGGGAGGTCCTACTCACTGCTCATCATCTCTTCCTCATGCTGCTCTTAGAAAAAGATTGCTGTCCCTGTGTTATTGACCAGGGAAACTGGAGTTTGGAGGGGTTGGGTACTGGTCCCAAGGCCACAAATCAAGCTGTGGAAAAATCCAGGTGAACCCAGGTCTGTCTTATATTTTTTTCTTCCCGGGTCCCTGTAGTTGTACAAGGAGGGGGGAACTGCTCGATGGGCACAAAGCTCAGCCCCCGCCAGCTAAAACCAAGACATGAGCAAGGACACCAGAAGGATGGTGGATCTTGGGGTGCTTACCCCTTGAGAAATATGGAGGCAGCAGAGGGGATGAAGAAGGCTAGGGGAGTCTGTGCTGCTTCTTGTTGCCTGGCCATGGGCACCCCAGGATGCAGATGCTCAGGCTGATGGGACCCAAGGAATCAAGTTGTCTTTTGATATATAACAAATCAA